CCCCCCCCCGGATAGAGTCTCCGTCCCTCCACCCCCCCCAGCCTCAACCAGCCAGGATTCTGCTCACAGAGGCGTGGCCAGCATGCACAAAGAGGCTTCAGGACACAGACCTGGGGCCTCATCATGTGCCTCCAGCATCCCAGAGGGTTGCATACTGCGGTGCCACTGACTGGCATGTATTTATTTATTAACTGACAAAATAAAGAAATATTTATCATGGACTATATGTTGTTTTGAAATATGTACATGTTGGAGAATGGCTAAATTGAGCTGATTAACCTATGGATTAATCGCATACTTGACGATTTTTTTTCAGGTGAGAACTTGTGCTCTTCTTTCCCCACATCCTTTTACAATAATATCTTTGCATAACTCATTTGCCAACATCTTCCAGAAGGAATTCTTCCAGGGTAGTTGTTGGTAGGAGGTACTGTGGAGAGAGCTCTGGAGCTGCCCTCCAGACCATCTGGATTCTCCATCTGACGTGTGAGTGGGTCTCGTCCTTTGGCCTTCTCGTTTCCTCAGCCTCAGCTCTGCACCAAAAGGCAGCCACAGTATGGGATCTCCTCCCCCACTGCAGTCCACAGTCTTTTCCTGACAAACGTGGCTTTTCTGCTTGACTCTGGCATGGGTCATCATCCTGGCTTTCTCCCAACCAAGCCAACTCAGGAGCCTCACTGCCGTCCAGTGCTCCCACTTTCTGTTGGTACTGACGAGCTTCATTGGCTTTGCCATTCAAAATGTGCCCATATCCTGTGGGCTGGCCCAATAGCCTGGTAGTTAAGGGAGCCAGATCCTACGTAGCCAGCTGGGGTTTGAATCCCGACCCTGGCAGCTTGAGAAACATGCATGTGTGTGCATGATCAAAATCTTGACCGGATGGGGAAATGGAGGAGAAAAGATTGCAGCAGGACCACATTGCATGCCTAGCACTCTATCTCTGCCAAGGGCATGTGCCTGTTGGGAATTTTTTAAAAAAGAGAATAAAAAGACGTGTGCCATCCTGAGCTCGGAGCTGCGATGCCTGGCGTCCACACCCACCCCACCACACTCCTAGCCCCCTTCTCTGGGATGGTGTGCCTGTGTCTACACACCTCCCTTCTATTTAATGGTTACAAATTTCAGAAGTGTCTTCAATTTATCAAAGGTAGCATGTCTGTCTCTGTATCTCTTTTTCCTGGTTGCTTTTTGGTATTTTCTTAGAGGAGAAAAAGAAAACGTCAACATTTTAGAGCGAGGTTTTACAATGAGTTTTGAGCAGGGAATGGGTGGTGGGACCTGAGCGTGGTAGGATTTGCTGGCTGACGGTCAGAGGAGGACTCACAGGGAGCATGGACAACAGCTGCTTCCGCTTCTTATTGCAGGACTGGGAAACAGCAACATCCCATTTCCAGGGACTCTGTGGGGACCGAGTGGTGTCATATATGTGCAGAGCCTGGCATGTAGTGTTCTAGTTCATTGTCTTCGTGATGACCCTGTGAGGTGTGTACTCCAGCATCATTGTGTTCACGTGACAGGGGAAGGAACCAAGGCCCAGAGCTGAACAACTTGCCCCAAATAATGTAGCTTGTTCTCAGTGAAGCAGAATTTAGAGCACGAATCTTCTACTACTGCACTCCAAATACGTGTTTCCAGTTCCCTCTTCACCAGAACTGGGCAGGCTGCTTGTGAAACTGTGCAGACAACCTCGGTTGTGCCTCCCGGACTTGAAAGCGAGCCACTTAGGCCTAGATCTTTGGTCAGATTCGTTACTAGGTTTCCAAGCGTTAGAGGAAATTCTTTTTTGATAGAGCCAGACTGAGCTGCTCACCCACCTGGCATTAGTTCATAAGGGGAAAGAGGCATGAGTGTGGCCTCTCAGTAAATCCACCCCTGCTCCAGCCAAGACACCTCCAATGTTTCAGGTATGAAGAATGAGGTCTGGATTGGAGACTGGTTCAAGCCAGTGGCATTGCCAGACACCAACCTTCCTCTGGCTGCCGCCCCTAATGGCCAGGACCCATGGCTCATCCACATTCCTACTCGCCTTTGGACTTCAGGTTTGTTTCTTGGGACTTTAAGATGAACTTGCATGCCTTCCTACCCCTTCTGGAGACCGGTTCAAGCCAGGGGCATTGCAGGACACCAGGCGATAATGGCTGGAACCCATTGCTGTTGTCCCTACCCCTCCCACTTGCCTTCAGGTGCTCAGGACTTCCATGTTTTGAATAGCCTGCATGCTGCCTGATCTTTTCTTTTCTTTTGAGGTTAAGCTCATTAGCTCAGTTGGAGGCCCACCACTCTTTAAAATCAGGGAGGACTTTGGTTCACTCAGGACCAGTGACAACAGTGCAGGGTACTGGTGAGCAACAAAGAGGCAGACCACAATAGAGATCACCAATTTTCTACTCCTGCACACCTTTGAACACTCAGAGGTACCTTGAAAAAGTTAGGAAGGAATGTACAGATCACCAAATAACTAGGAACAATTGCAGAGGCTCAAAAAATATGAGCAACCTGGGCCGGCAGGTGGCATGGTGATTAAAGGCGCTGGCTTCCCCCAGGGCCGACCATGGTTTGAGTCCTAAACCTGGTGGCTTGCTTTCTCTCTCTCTCTCTGTTCCTCTCTGGTCAAGTTAAAATAAACAAATAAATAAATAAAGTTAAATAAAATAATTATTTTTAAAAAATATATGCACAACCAACAAATTGTCTCTCCCTCAAGGAAAAAACATCAATTCCGCCTCACCCACACACAGTACAATGGATGTCATGGAAATGTGGGATAAACAATTCAGAATATTTGTAGTGACCAAATAACAGAGATAAAAGAGACAATGGGCTCTAGGAGATGAGAAAGTCCTTTCTTGATTTGCAAGAAGAAATAGACACCTTACAAAAGAATCAGATGGAACTTCTAGGGATGAATAATGTGACACAGGAAAACAAAATCTCCCTCAAAAGTATTAAAAGTAGATTAGATCATGCAGAAGATCGAATCTCAAATGTAGAAGATAAAATATCTGACCTAGGAAAAAGTATCAAGAAGATTGAGAAAACAACCGAGAAAAATAAGGATAATATATGAGGAATACTGGATAACATGAAGCGCCCCAACATCCAGATAGTTAGTATTCCAGAAGACGAGGAAAATAATAAAGGCATTGGTAATTTATTCCATGAAATCCTAAAAGAAAACTTTCCAAACCTAGAAAGGCATTCAAATATCCAGACTCAAGAAATACATAAGACCCAGGAATCAGCAGTTAGCGTAATGGCTATGTCGCTGGACTCCCACGTAGTCGACCGCGGTTCGCGTCCGGACCCGGTGGCTTAAAACTCAAGCTGGGCACGTGTGTGTGCGTGCCCAAGATCCCGAGAGGAGAATAGCGGAGAAGGGATTGTGGTGTGACCATCCCCCCTGCGGGGTGATTTCTCGCTTTCTGTCTCTATGTCTCTCTCTGTCCGGCGAGTGCATGCGCCCTATAGCGAAAATCTCTCCAAAAAAAAAAATACATAGGACCCCAAATAGAATCAACCAAGAAGATCCTCTCCAAAGCATATCATAGCCAGATTGGCAAAAATGACAGACAAAGACAAGAATCTCCAGGAGGTGTGCACACCCAGTGTGCCCAGGGATACCTCTGCCACATGCCTGGGTCCTTCCTGCATGGGTACAGCCTCACAGGGCACTGTGTTACCGCTGAGCCACCCCTGATAGCCCTGCTTTTTTATAGATACCTTCTCTCTGGTATGCTTAAGAGGCTGGCTTCACCTTCAACCTACTACTCAGCCCTCCTCCCAGAGTTTCTCTTCCCATTCTCTGGGAATTCCCTTGGCTTCTCCCCCATATTGATCATTTTCCTCTTTCCTAGTTAATTCACTAATTTGGCCATGATTTGTATCCTACTAGTTTTCTTAGGTGAACTTTGGAGACGCCGACAGCCTGTTGTGAAATGTGCAGTCTGGGGCTGAGAAATGCGCAGTCTATGCTTCCCTGTCACGGCGAAGAATTGAAGCACAAGGGAACAAGCTGCTGAGCACGCGGTTTATTGAGGGAAATACGATATGTCCCACAAACCGAATGGGCCAGTGTCAAGGTTGGCAAGCTGGCCCTGACGCCTTCCTGGGGTCCCCTTAACCCTGTTTTAGACCCTTTGTTGATCTAAAATATGTGGCTCAGACTTGCTTTAACCTGTGCTCCTTTTCTGGCTTGTTCCTCATTGTCGTGCCTTGCAGGTCTCATGACTCAGGGCGTTATTTGAGTTAGATGGATGTCACAACACAGACCGTCACGCAGTCCCAGCTTCCAGTTTCGTTGTGCTCCAGGTTAGTTCCCTGATCTGAATCTGCCTCACCAAGCTTATCATCCCCAATGACTCCCAACTGCCTGATTGTCCAGGAGTAGAACCCGTCACCGGGGCCAGAGAAGACCTTGGCTATGCCCAGCAATGCCAGCAGGTGCAGGCTGGCCAGCAGGCGGTGTCAGGGACCGGTCTCTGAACCGTGGGGCTGGACTGCCCATGCCCGGATGCCATGTGGCTCTAATGTTCTGTGAGCTGGATGTGAGACCCCAGCGTGGGAGAACACGGAGCAGCGATGCAGTCCAGCCCCAGTGTGTGCTCTGTCCTGGCCGTCCACGCTCACCTTCAGGGAACAAACAGTCCATTCCATCACCTAGCCAATAGTAGATTCTGCCAGAGCACCTACCTGCCTTCGGGGGTCTCTAACCTGGTCCAGCTGGGACCCACAGAGGATCCCAGACTCCCTCCTCTCTCTGCCTGTCTTTGATCAAGCTTGGGGTCCACCTGTTGCCCTCTAGGGCTCTGATGGCAGCACAGTCCCGTATGGTTGTCAGGAAAGGAGATCTCTGAGAGCGTGGGCCCTGGAGAAGCCTAGGAGGGCATTTTCTCCCTTCTCTGCGCCTTCCCAGGAAAGACCTTCCAGGGTCACCTGGGCTCCCTGGCACCTTGGCTGAGGTCAAGGACCTTCGTGCTGAGAGCCCAGCAGGTGGCAGCAGCACAGTATGTTGTCTGGCCTGTGGGGGGCTGTGCCATGGCCTGGCTCCTTCTTGCCAGCTAACTTCAGCTCCTCCCTGCGGGGTCTGGGCATGCGCTCCTGGGGCAGCTCTGGACTTGTTTCCTACAAGGTGCCAGCCGTGCCCTCGGAGTGGGCACATTCAGAAGCCCAGCCCCAGTGGAAGAGGTGGACAGCACGATCTCTGTGCCAGCACTGCACAGTGCAGAAGGGGCACAGGCCCTTTCTAGGAGCTCAGACTCCCTTGGAGACCCCCCCGACCCACCACGAGGCAGAGCGAGAAGGCATCGGTTGCTTGTCTGTGCACACCACATGTGCAACTGGCTTCAAGGCTAGGGGAAGTTCCTGAGGAAGTGTGGGAAGGTCTGGACAGACTGGGCTTGGGAGAGTGGAGCATGGTTGGCAGGGGCGTGGCGTGGACAAGGGGACCTTGGGACAGTTGAAGCCTGGAGGTTTAGCTGTGGGTGTGTCGCTTGGCCTCTCTCCTGAACTGTCATCTCATGCAGATTACTCACGGACCCATGAATTGTTATTACTCTTTTTAAGCACACTTAGTTATCTCTTCCATGAGAGAGACAGAGAGAGAAAGAAGCATTCCAGCTGGGTCTTCATACAGATCCACTCTCAGCCTCAGCCATCCCAGGTTACAGGCACGCAGGCATTCACTCTGAGGGTACAGAGCGATGCAAATGCAGGCCTTCCCACGGGGCCCAACATCGGGGAGCATGTGTTACTGCTGCACCACGGTCTGGCCCCTGGAGCCAAGAGTTATTATCTGTGCATATGATGACATTTTCAGAGACAGATTTCAGTCCCTCCTCAGATGATTCCTAGTCACGAGGTCAAATATTTGGCTATTTGAAGCCTCTGGAGAACGGTCTGGATTTTCCTCTTTCACCCGTGGCTTACCCAGGCTTCCTCTGAAGGCAGAGCATGAGTCTGTGCTGTGACATTTGAAGCCCACAGTCCCAGGAAAGCAGGAGGGAGGGTGGGAGCTCCTACAACTGTGCCTTACAGAGCTGACCACTGCGTGGCGGGGAGCTTGTTCTCAGTGTAAGCCCATTTTCTGAAGACCTATGAGTTGCTGCTCCTTAAGGGAGAAGAACCTTCTTCTGACCAAAGGTTCACTCACCCCACAGGACGTCAGCATCTCCATATTCCCGGCTTGCACATGCAGAGTGCTAGCAAGTCCCTCGTCTCTCACAGAACTGCTTGAAGCCCGTCGGCACTGGGGCTCGGACCAGCAAGGTGGCTGTGTCTGAGGCAGCCCAGAAGGCCCACCCCTGCGCAGCTCTCCAACTGCAGGTACATTTTGCACCATTGTGAAACCCAGTGTCCTCACTCTCCGGAGCGGGAAGCTGCAGCCTGTTGGAGTCAGTGGAAAGCCATAGTCTCTACAGGGAATGAACACAAGGTTATTTAAAAACAAAACTACAGGGACCAGCAGGTGGCGTAGTGTTAGTCTCTCATGGCCAACCTCAGGGTTTGAGTCCTGGATTCAGTGGCTTGATACATGACAGGCCTGTGTGCGTGTGGGTCTGTGTGTGTGCCCATGCCTGCCCCAAATGCTGAGAGAAGCATGGAGGAGAAAGGATTGTGGTGTGGTCATCCCCCGTGGGAAGTGATTTCTTGTTTTCTGTCTGTTTCTCTCTGGCGAATGCACGTGCCCTATGCCAAAAATCTCTAAAAAACGAAACAAAACAAAACAAAATTACAGTCCTTTGGCTACAGCTGGCATTAGAGATGGTATTAATCACTGTTCCGCTCCATTTCCACCTTGGTTCCTCCAGGCCAGCCAGGTGGGGATGACCAGAGATTCCTCTCGGAGGGACCGAGAACCTTAGCTTCTTTGCCCTCTCATGGGCTCTCCTGTTCTTGTATTTCAGGGTGTCTTTTGTAAGCAACCTGTAGTTGGAATTTCTTTTTTCATCCAGTCTGAACATATTTGTCTTTTCAGAAAAGCAGTGGAAATAGTTAACAAGGATAAGACCGTGTGGAGTGGAGGGGAGAAGAGAAGAGGATAAAGACAGCAAGAGAACAAATAGAGAGGCAGGACATCAGGACGCAGATATGGTTTATTACCTGTTGATGATGACGTGCATAGTCTTATCAAGTGATTTCTTTTTTCATCCAGTCTGAACATATTTGTCTTTTCAGAAAAGCAGTGGAAATAGTTAACAAGGATAAGACCGTGTGGAGTGGAGGGGAGAAGAGAAGAGGATAAAGACAGCAAGAGAACAAATAGAGAGGCAGGACATCAGGACGCAGATATGGTTTATTACCTGTTGATGATGACGTGCATAGTCTTATCAAGTGTGGCCTGAGAAGTATTTCATGTTGGGTAAAGTCTTTTTACAAGCAAAATGAGAAGTAGTGATGGACTGTTTTAAAAAATAATTGGAATAATAATAATGATAATGATGTCTAGGAAAAATAATGAAAAACTATTGGATGATGATGGGGATTATATTGTCTCTGTATTGACTGAAATGCGTGGTATTCCTTCTGGAAAAAGAAATGTAATACACTATAAAGTTATATGTGATTCAATGTAATATAAAAAATATTATGATGATAATAAATAAAATAGAAAAAAAAATAAATAACTTGTCTTTTTAAGTCATTTGCTATAGGGTACACACAGTCACTGGAGAGAGAGAGAGAAAGCACCCCCCGCAGGGGTGATGGCCACACCCCAAACCCTTTTCTCCTCTCAGGATTTTAGGCGAGCATAGACACGCTTCTGGCCTGTTTTTCAAGTCATCAGGCCCAAGACTCAAACCACATAGTCATTTATGTGGGTTCTGCCTGCATTAACCACCATGCCACCTGGCTGGCTGAAAATATTTGTCTTTTAATTGAACCATTTAGTTCATTTTCTTTTGATTATATTTAAATATTACTATTTTATTTCTCTACATATTTAAAACCCTAAAGATGCTTTTTAAAGAAGTGTGTTTATGGCTTCCATGAGAGACAGAGAGCCAGAGAAACAGCACCCCAGTAGGGTCTCCCACTGTGATCCACCCCCAGTCTTGGCACTGTGTGCTAACACAACACCCTGTGATGCTGGACCCACGTGGGAGGCCAGTATTTGCAACTCTCTGATCACAGGTATGCAGGCCTGTGATCCCAACTGGCTGAGGCTGGGGGTGAATCACAATATGAAGACCCTGCTGGGAGTGCCTCTCTCTTTGTCTCTCTCATGGAAGAGATAAGCAAATACACGTTTACAAAACCTCCCAGCTGGAAAAAGTTTTCTTTAAACTCTTAAAGGTAACTTAATGTGTCTTGTTAGAAACATTGTCTTTCAGCTTTTCTGATTTATCCCAATTTCTATTTTGCTCTCTGCAAAGATGGCTTTCCTGTAAAACAATAAAATTCTAGATCAATATTTTTTTTCTCAGTACATTGACAATTTTATTCCAGTTGCTTCAGGTTTCCACTGTTTTTTGGGAAGTCAGCTGCTGTTTTTTAATATCTGCCTGCTTATCTAGCTTTCTGTAGTTCCACATGATATGCCTTAAAAGGATCATTTGTCATTTCTGTTCATTATAACTAGTTGGAATTTTTGGATGTGAGGTTTGAAATTTTTGAACAATTTTTAAAAGTTATCAACGATTGTCTCTTCAGGGACCAGCAGTTAGCGTAATGGCTATGTCGCTGGACTCCCATGTAGTCGACTATGGTTCCAGTCCCAGACCCGGTGGCTTAAACTCACGCCAGGCACATGTGTGTGCGTGCCCAAGTTCCCAAGAGGAGAGGGGAGGAGAAGGGATTGCGGTTTGGCCACCCCCACCCCCACCCCCACCAGGTGATTTCTTGCTTTCTGTCTCTCTGTCTTTCTCTGTCTTTCTGGTAAGCGCACACGCCCTATAGCCAAAAACTGTCCAAAAAATACTATTACCTCTTCAAATATTTTCTTTCCATCTTTTCTCTGTTATGTTCCCAAATTAGACATGTGCTAGTTTTTTTCATTCTGACTTCAATGTTTGTTGTCATTGTTGTTGTTGTTGTTTATTTATTTCTTCCTTGAGAGAGGGAAGAAGAGAGACAGGCACCCCACACAGGGTCCTCATGCCACAATCCACCTGCAGTCTCAGTGGGTAATTTCTTTTAAAATTTAGATATTTAATTTCATTTATCTCCCATGTTGTAAATTATCTCTCCAATTATATCTAATATGCTGCATGATCCATTTGAAATTCAACCCATTTTTTAACAGTTTTAATTATAATAGTTTTATTTCTAGAAGTTCAGTTTAATTCTTATCAAAATTTGCTTGGTTATTTTAAAAAATATGTTATCCCTGCTCGTATTTGCATGCCTTAAAATATATGGAACATTTTTAGTTTAACCTAGTATCTGATAATTCAGGGGGCTGTATGTATGGTATGATACTGCTGTCATTCATTCATGGTGTTTTATTTCCCTGTGTGGCTTTGTGAGTTTTTTGTTTTGCTGTTGTTGTTTATTGCAAAAGTGCATGTGCACTTGCCATAGAGAACCATGTCTTAATGGGATGTAGTCAGCCTGCAATTGATACTCCTTAGTTCCCCCTTCCTCTCAAGATTTTGGGCATATGCACACATGCACCCAGCATGGTTTTCAAGTCATCCAGGGTCAGAACTTGAATCTTGGTCAACCCTGTGAGATCCAGCTCCCCAGATACAGGAATACATTGTGGTATGGGGCAGCCCACTTTCTGAGTTTCAACGACAGTGTGTGCTACTCATTTCTTTGAGGTATTTTTTTCATTGATATTGTTATTTTTTTAATGAATCACTTTATTTATCTTTATTTATTTATTTTAATTTTTTTTGAGACTGAGCCAATGTTTCTTGGGTCTCTAAAAAATTATTTTTAGATTAATTTTTTTAATTTGAAGAAAAAATTTTTTATCACTTCTGTTTATTGACATAATTGTAATGTCTGTGAGAGAATATGTGATTTTCCAATACAAGATACAATGTGTACACATCAATTCAGGCCAGTTAGTAGAACATGCATCATCTCAGCCATTTGCTTTCTATTGGGGACAGTCAAAATCTAATTTTTGATGGACACTAAGTGTCCATAAAAAAATTATTGATTGAAGAAAAAAATATATATATATACTCATACACACAAACACACATATTGAGTTGTATTTCATTCATTAATAAGAATGAAATTCAGTTATTTGAGAAAAAAAAATGAGTGTACCTGGAATACGCTATACTAAATGAAATAAGCCAGACACAGAAAAGGAAATACCAGACTTCTCCTCTTATATGTGAAATTTTAAAAATGACCTCATAGAAGTAGAGAATTAAAGAATGACTACTATAGGCTTAGAAGAACAGGGTGAAAAGGGGATAGAAATGTGTTAAGTGAACCAAAATTACAGATAGATAAGCAAAACAATTTCTAGTGTTATAAAATATAGTAGTGTGAATATAGTTAATAACACTTTACTGTAAATCCCAAGGCCTTTTATTGACACTGTATTCTTATTTATCCCTTCCCTTACCAGTTTTTCCTTGGATCATTTCTAAACAAATCATATTCATATAGATCCTCATTTTTTGGTATTTTTTTGGGGGAATTCAATATAGGATGAGAATCTCATCAAAAACTTCTCTTTGAGGGCTTAAGTCTTCTAGTAACTTCTCTTCGAGGCTATGCTGGGGCATTGTGAAAGTCTGAGATTTAACCTCAAATCTTGAGCAAGGGCCTCCTCCCACTTAGGAGAGGCACAAACCCAGGTCTGCTGAGATGGCTACTGAACTTGAGCTATGAAATATTGTTTTCAGGGACTAAAAATAAAGATCTTCTGCTGAGTCTTCACCCTCCAGATTCATTTCTTTTTTTTTTTTAATTTATTCATTCTCTACATTAATTCACTATACACCATCACAACACACAAATGAATTTTCCATCCAAAATACACTGTGCATTGGCTCAATCAAGCACATCAACATACATGTTCTCAGCAAATAATTTTCCAATTCTTATGTCCTGCATACCTTGCCTTTTTTTTTTGCCATCCCTGATTCCCCATCCCCTACCCTCTGCCATGTCCCATCCTCCTCCCCCATTGTCCCTGGCGTCCATGGTTGCCCTCCATTCCTTTCCCACCCCTCCATTCAATTGATCTGCCAATGAACTTAATTAGTCTAAATATATCCAATAGCTAGCACAGCTGACACATACCTATACATGAACCCAAGTCTGACTTTAGGCATAAACCCCAGTGAGTAGAATGAACATACTATAAAGTAGTATCCAGCTGTGCCCATACAGTTCGCTGCAGTCGTCAAATATGCATTTTTTTAAAAAA